GGATGGCACTGTGGCCGTTCTACATAAAATTTTTAATAGACTTGCATATATAGGGGACCAAATATTTTTAAAACTCTTTGGCATATGTTAATTGATATCTGAGAATTTGTACTATGCTTTTAGTATACTGCAAATTTGGACCAAGAAAGCTCTACATTGATATCAGACATTTTGACACATTTCAGAATCATTGAGATAGTCTTCACTTTTTTTTTGTATTTTGTCTATATAATAAGGATGTTATCCTTGCTTCATATAGGGTCAATTCAATATTTATTGAGTACTCGGTTCCTCCCTCCTCAAATAACTTACCATCTAGCAAAAGGGGTATAAGTACATGAATAACTATGAAACAAGAAAAATATATGAAAATATTTTATTTCTACAAACACTAGAATTCTACCATTAACTGATATCTAATTAGATTTTCTTTGGCTTTTCTCTTTTATCAAAAATAAAACCAAACAAACAACAAAACAAAAAAACCAGAGAGAGAGAGAGTGCATTGACATTTAAGCATCCTTGCCCACTCAAATGCATAATAAATGTCATGAATTAACCCATTTCATAATTGATTCCACAACTATTTATTGAATGTATTTGATGTGCTAAGTTCTGTTTTAGGCTTTGGGATACAGGGTGAGTAAGGCCAGGCCAGTCCTTTCCCTTGAGGATGTCATAGCCCACTAGACAGAAATAATAGTTACTAAGTTACAATATCAGAAATTTTACTGTTTAGATATGCACAGGGCACTAACACAAAACAAGGAAAAGAAAACTGGCTGCTTAGCCAGGAAAGGGTCTTTTTTCTAAAACAATATATAGATTTATTATTATTTTTCCATCACCATTTATCCTCCCAGGCCCTCCTCCACCTCCACCTGCCCCCTGCAGTCGCCACACTGCTGTTCATGTCCATGAGTTCTTTCTTTTTTTCTTTTTTGCTTAAGCCCTTCACCCACCCCTCCTACCTGCCCACAGCTATCAGGAGAGGTTCTTAGTTTCAAAGCATATAAAAGATGTCCAGATAGAAAAAAGTGATACGATTATTTCTATTTTGTTTATTATTCTGTATTTCAAATTTTCCAAGCTATGTATAGATTATTTGTAAAAACATGAATGGAAATAATGTGTTAAATGTTTGAACATGTGAAGAAAATCCTAGGCACTTTAAAGTGCCTGTTAGAGTGCTACTTATTTACAATAAGACAAGACAAATGTAGAATCATCTCACTAAGACAACAGGAAAGAGGGAAGACCTGATATGTTTCTGTGACGCAGAATATGCCCAATGAATATAGATTTTCACTATTAATTATATCACATAAACTAACATTATTGGTTTCTTAAAATAATCATAGTAATTTTTAACACTATAAAGTTACTCTAAAGAAGTAAAATCTTTTTAATAAATACATTTATCAGAAATTATTCAAATTAACGCCTCACCTGAAAATGTACTTTTTATATAAGATGTAAGGATTCTAATATTTATATTCAAGGTATTAAACATATATACATTAAGCATCTACTATGTACCAGACACTGGAATAAGCATTGGAAATATAACAGTGAACATAACAGATGCAAATCTATGTTCTCTAAGATATAAGACTACTTTCTTATAGGGGTAGATAGCTATTAAAGAGATCGATTACAAAATATGGCATGTCAGATCATAGTGCACTATGGGGAAAAGTAAAGCAGGAGATGGTGTTAGATATGTTAGAGAAGGTGTGTGAATTGATCACTTAAAATGTGGTTACAGATAAGACAATACTTAAAAGGTGCCTTGAGGTAGGTGAGGAGGCAAGCCATGCAGTATCTAGAGGAAGAGAATCCAGGTGAAGGGGACAGCAACTATGAATTCTTGGGATGGAAACATGCTTCTCAGGCTGAAGAAATAGCCAGGAGCCCAGTGTGGCTGGGACTGTGGGGAGCTGAGAGAGGCAGCTGGGCCAGGTTCTGTAGTCCTTTTTGGCCCCGGTGAAGACTTGGCTCTCATGCTATATGAGATGGCAGCCTTCAGAGGGTTTTGAGCAGCAGCTGAGACAGATCTGATCAAAGGGATAAAACTCTGGCTCCTGTGTTAAGGCTAGACACAAGAGGACAAGAATGGAGGATGGAGAAGGTTAAAAGGCGACTGCAGTATTCCAAGTGGCTCTGGCAAGGATAGGGATGGACGTGTGAGAAGCAATTTGATGGTGGACATACGGGTACACTTATCAATCACTGCTCCCAACACTTCGTCAATAAGCTCCATTTCTAGTATATCACTCTGGCTAACCCTTCCTAAGTAGCACTCCTCATCCTTCTAGCATCTCAACTCCAACACATTTTTAAAACAGCATTAGAAGCTACAATTCGTTGATCCTCCCACCTTTTCATTGTCCCTCCTCGCTTCATTTCCTCCCATGTAGATTCCATGGGCCTGTTTAAATGCTAATGGCAGGAAACAGACAGCTGAACCTCTCTGGAGAAAAACACACTAACATGCTTACCAGCCTCATTCACTGGCCTCGCGAACATGTGTGCTGGCCCTCACTGGGTGAATGTGTTTCTATCTAAGGCAAACCCTTCCATTCCCATGATAGATTATTCCATTCTAACCTAGTTAAGATGTTGCTCTAGCAAATGTTTCATATCTCTCAAAAATTAAACAAACATGTTATTATAATACCCATCTTTGGAAAAAAACAAACAAACCCGTATATCTTATCCATTTCTCTAGCTCCCACCCTGTTCTTGGCCCCTGAGCAGTGCTTTTCAACAGTTGCCTGTTCTTGTCATTTTTGACTTGCTAGCCTCCTATTCTTATTTAATCTTAATATGTAGGCTTTGTTGTCCATCACTCCTTGAAACTGCTACTGTCAAGGTTACCAGTGACTTCCAAGCTGCCAAACCCAGTGACCACTCTGCAGTCCTATTTGGTTAGATGGCCAGCAGCATCAGACACCATGATCACTCCCTCCATCTTGAAGCTCTTTCCTCCTTTGGTGGCCAGGACACTTGTTCTCACTGGTTTTGTTTCTACCTCACCGGCCTAACTTTCTCAGTCTCCTTTGATGAGGCAGCTCATCTCCTAACCTGTGTTGGAGATCCTTGGTTCTCTTTTCTCTGTCTCTGCACACTTTTAGGTGATCTCATTAAGGCTCATGATGTTCAATATCAGCCATGTACTGATGACCTGGTCCTGACCTCTGCCCAGAACTCTTGACAAACATGTGCAACAGCTTGCTGGTCGTTTCCTTCTGGATGATGCCTATAGCTTCTTGTGTCCACAACCAAAGTCCTGATTTTTCTTCCTCTAAATATGCTCCTCCTGCATTTTTTTCTAATTAAGTGGCGTTTCTAAACTTTCAGTTGCTTAGGTTAATAATTTTGGAGTTATTCCTAACTTCTCTCTTTCTTTCATGCCCCCAATTTAGTCTATAAACAAACTAGGCCAGTTTTTACCTTCAAGAGCCAGGACTTCTTAAAACATATACTCATGTTTTTAAATGACTACCATAATTTTATTTTGAAATGCATTTAGAGTTTCGAAAGCACCTACAAGTCATTTTTTAAAACAAAAATCTGCATAATTCACATTTAGTCAAAAATAAAATGTAAATATAAAACAGGAAATAGGTTTTTTGAATGATTTGTAAGTAACCCTGAAAGTAAATTCTGAAAAAAAATAATTTCAAAAATGATATTGTTCTAGAACAGCATCAATGGAATGCATATTTAATCCAAATTATCACTTACAAAGACAATGTTTATTTGGTTATATAAGTTCTGGATTATTGTTTAAAATTTATCTCTGCTCTTTGTATTCACAATTTGAATTAACATTCCCTGAATAATACAAAGACATGCTTATTGCACTATAATATTGATAAAATACTGACTCTGAAACTACACCGCTTGAATTCAATACTGGCACTATTATTTTCTAGCTCTTTTATCACAGACAAGTCTCTCAAATGCTCTATGCCTTAGATCCCCCATCTATAAAATGGGGGTAATAAGAATGCCAACCCAGGATTTCTTGGGAGGGTCAAATGAGGTCATGTGCATAAGTACTGAGGATGGCGCCTGGCACAGATAAGAGATAGGGACTGTGTTATGAATAAAAGAATTATATGGAGATTCTTTGATACTAGGAGCCCTCAGGGAACTTGAGGCATAAATAGAATATCTAAAACATTAAAGACATTTCAAGGTTTCAGGAATTGTTTAAGGTAACCATAAAATATACAGTGAAGGCAATATGTATTAGTTATCTATAAAGTGAGAGAATTAGCCAACAAATGCCATAGACATTCAAATGAGGAAGGTTACTTCTATTAACAGTGGTTTATAGTTTATGGTGAGATTTTTTTTTTAAATGTTCAGTTGCAATTATAATAAAACTGAGATATGTGCCCATAAAGTGCCAATTTTGATGTATGAACATGCAAAAGCATAGGAGTTCAGTACAAATTGTTAATACAGAGCTTTAATTAGATACCATAAGAGCAACTCTTCTGAAATATTGATACCTATTTATGTGTATATAGGAAGCTGCTGCCATTTATATTGGTACCATATGCACTGGATTATGGCACTATCGACCAAGTTATTTTACATGTGCATCTAGTTTAAATTTATTATAGGGAATATCAATTATATATCATTGAGATTTCCTTTTTCCTGACACAATTGTACATTTATGAAAGATATAAATTTAATCAACAAATACTAATTGAGCACATACTCTAGAGGAGACATAGTTTTCTCATGCTAAGAACATACAAATATGCTAATAAAAATATGATTGATGTGGTAATAGCGGATCCTTGTGATTTCATTTTTTATGCCTTTCAAATAGACATGCTTTCCTGAAATGTAATTAATTGCCATTAACCCCAGAACCGTGAAGCCATGTGTATAAGTGGGCAGAGTAATTTCCAAGTTTGTCTCCAGGAAAGGCGGGGAAATATCTAAAACATGTTTTTCCCTCTTTTTTCCTCTAGTTGGCCCGTCACAACAAACTATTACAGCAGATGCTCAAACCAGGATCAGATCCAGATGATGGAGATGAAGCCTTAAAGTATTATGCCAACCACACCGCACAGATTGAGGTAGCAATCTATTATTTCTTGAAAGGGACCAACTGTGAAAAGATACTTTTACTTTTTATTTCAGAGCATTTTTATAATTGTTTCCTAGAATAACAAAGCAAAATCGATAGAAGCTATAAAAGGATATATTAGAAGATGAAATATGAGGAATTATCTATAAAAATTTGAGGTCTACATTTATCAAAGTTGTCTTTATTTTTTTGACCAGTACTATATTTAAGTTTTCTTTTGTAATTAATAAGGTAATTTTTGTTCTGTTTTGTTTTGGTCATGGAAGCAGTTATTTCACAGCAGTGTTGTTTTAGAGAAATTAGTAGAAGCTATCATTTAAGAAAAGATTTCTTTTTAAAAAGTATAGAAGGCTTATTAAAATAGAGATCTCTGTGTAAGAAAGTATTCAGAAGTGTATGAAACACAGAAGGCACAAATAAAGTTTCCATGTTGACAACATAAACTTGGGATGGTTTAATAGTTTCCATTTTCAGTGTGTAACAATTGACCCCCGCTCCCTCCATAAATGAGACATTCTTTAATGGCCAGTGGCAGATCAGGAGTGTGTGTCAACACAGACTTATCACTATGTGTTGGGAAACCAATCTGGTTATCATTTACTAGTAATGGTATCATTTTGACACTAGTAGGCACAGCTAATCAGGCAGAAGTGAGTAGAGTAGTTGGTGCTTGTCACTAGTAATTTACATTCATACATTCATTCACTTTGGCAGGTGTATTTTAGTTTTCAGCAGACTGTATCATGGGCATCACTGCTATTAATTCTCAATATATATAATCACTATACCTTACTGTTTACTGTTGCCTAACCTTTGGAATAATGAGCATTATTACCTTGTGTCATAAAATGGATCCTTTAGTAACACTGATAAACTTTGATAGTACTGTAGCTTTTGTGGGAGACTTGACCTAATGGAAACAGCAGGAGCTGGACCTGCAGCAAAACATTGCATCAGGCGCTCAGGAACCAGGAGGCTGACAAAGTCAGGAAGCTGGAGGCATTGGTACAAATAGATCATGAAAGCACCAAGGTTCCGAGGAAGGGCCCAGAAGCCAAAGTGCAAAGCTAGGTGATTAGAAGAGATCAAGGATAGCAGGTATAGTGGGTAAGCCTGAGGAGAGCATTGGGTTAATACCTGTGTGTGAGAGAGGGGAGCTGTTGTTGAAGTTGGACTTTTATTGGTTTCCCAGAAGTGAAGACAGATTTAGCTATATATACATAAATTCAGTAAATTTCTAGTTCTCATGCTCATTCAGAGAGCACCTCAGATGACCCACTCAGAGAGGCCACCCCTCCTTTCTTCACACATTCATTATTTCATCTCACTATGCTCCTACAGCAGTGTGATTATTCTGTTTAGTTTAACATATAACATGGTTCCCTATGGGTCATTTGTCCCCTGCGTGAGGCAGGGATTGGCCATGATCATCTTTGTATATCCAAAACTGAACACTGTATCTGGACTATAATCACAATAATGAATATTGTTGAAAATAATAGTTCGTCTATAAATTATAGACTGAAAGATCCCAGGAAATAGGAAGGACCTTGTGGATTACATACCCATACCTGATCTACTCACCCATCCAAGGAGGAATCGCTTTATTATAATAATTCTGTTCCTGCTTTCAATTCTACCTGTGATAGAGATCTCACTACTTTAGGAGGGAACTGATCCAATTGGGAGCTCTAATATTTAGAAAAACAATTTTTTTTGTAAAGCGTTCATACTAGCCCACTTTAATGTTTTCTCACTGCTCAGAGCATTTGCTTCCCTGTCAACATGATAGCTTGGCTCTAACATTTGAAGACAAATCATGATTACTAAACTATAAGCTCATAACTTGGGGTTTATGTTGTTTTTCACTTTGAATTCTTCAGAACTCCTCAACAAAGGACTGAATAAGGATTAGTTGAATAAATGTATTGAAAAAAATTATCTGTCTTTGCCTGTTGACAGTTAACACATTCCCCTTTCCTTCAATAATCTCTCCAGTTTGTCCATGCCCATTATAAAATGCGACAACAGCCAGGATCAAACATAACATATCATAAAGAGAATGGAAAACTTGGCTTATAATAATCAAGACACAATTTCTTAAATGCACCCTGAGATTTTTTGTAAACGTCTGACATTGTTAGATCATGTACATCTTCCCTCCCCCTTCCCACATAGTTCCCTATCATACCAAATAGGTCCAATTCTTCTTTTGTGAAATTGATTTCTTTTAAACCAGTGTTTAAGAATTTTTACTTACCACCACTAAACTTCATAGTGTTTGTTCCATGATAGTGTTCTAGATGTAGTTTGCATATATAACATATCATCTAGGATAGCTTCCATTACAACTAACAGAACACTAGACTGACTGTTCAAACGATAAAAGTATTTGATTTTCCCAGATACCAGAAGATTGATTTAATGATTCAATAATATCTACAAACACGCAGACCTTTCCTGTCTTCTGCTAGGCCTTTTCTGTCATGCTGGTGACGTCTCTCCTTGTGGCTGTAAAATGGCTGCCAAAGTCTCAGGCATCATTCCCTTCCACTACCATTTGTTCTAAGCAGGAAGAAAGAGGACACAGGCAAAAAAGTGCTTTTGTGTTAGGTATTTGGGTTTTTTGTTGTTGTTGTTGTTATTTTGTTTGTCTCCAAGGCTTTCTGCCTTTTTGGGAAACAAAGTCTTTCCTGGAAGCTCCTTCTCCCCCTCCCCCAGGATATTTCTCCTTACGCCTCCTTTTCCAGAACTAGGTCCCATGCTCACCGACATGCGAGTTGATGCAAAGGGAAAAGGATGGCCCTCCTGGCTTAGACCAGCCTTGATGCATTCTCGAGGGTTGGACTGAGGCTTTATAAAGATGCACCTTGGAGGTGTGGTCCACACAGACCCTAGTTATGTCATAAAACTGTATGAGAGTATTCAGCCTGTTTTTTAAGTCTAACATTAAATTGTCACAGATACCAAATTAAAGAAGTTCAAAATAATGAGCATTTATATGTAGGCATGTGCTAGATGGATATTATACCTACAAAATTCATGTTTTGCCGTGACTAGAAAAATGGTTTAATGATATCAAACACCTGTGTCTGACATCATGTTGAGTCTGTTATGTATTTCCCAAAAGCCCTTTTTAGGAAACACTGGCTAAGAACAAGATACAAATATACCAAGTGCTGAGTTTAGGGTGTCTGGCCAATCCCTTCTAATTAACACCCTCTTAATTCTCTTGTACTTCATGAAAATAAAAATGAGGTTAATGTTAATCCAGAAAGAATGAAGATTTTGGTTTTTGTTATTCATCACGAAATATAGCATTTATGATACTTAAGTCCGTTAATTTTTCTTACTAAAGAGAAACATAAGGTAGTGCAGTAAAGGACTATCTTGGATACTTGAAGCTGGCATATTTGTTTCATTAACTGAATTTATAAAATATCTTTAATAAACTTGTGCTAAAAAGAAAAAAATATAATAAGACTGAGGTGACTGAAGACTAAAACACAAGTAAATTAATGTTTTCAGATTGTTCGGCACGACAGGACTATGGAGCAAATAGTTTTTCCCGTCCCCAATATATGCGAATACCTTACGCGAGAGTCCAAGTGCCGCGTGTTCAACACGACGGAAAGGGATGAACAAGGAAGTAAAGTGAACGACTTTTTCCAGCAAACAGAACACCTCTACAATGAAATGAAGTGGCAGAAGAAAATCAGGAGTAAGTACAATAAACTAAAATGGTGAGTTTGGGGGTAATGGTAGATAAGTAGTATCTGGGACATGACATTATTCACTTAAATTGGTTTTAAATATTTTGCCGTCTGATGTTACTGAAATCACTTGTAGGCTTAAGAACGTAAGCTCCGTCTACCACTGGAGCTGAGACACCTGCGGCTTAATGAAAACAGAAACCTCTGACTAATTAGATCGTCTTTAAGTGCTGATCCCACAGTTTTATAAATATTATGAAATACCAGGTTGCAGCTGTCTGTTTCAACTGTTGAACAACTGCAGGTTTGAAGTCCCCGAGGAAGCCCTGACTGGCCTTGGCCATCAGTGAATGGGATGGAGGGGCGCTGGCACCAGCGTGCTCCTCCTCTCTTGTCTTGTGACCTTGTGATGGAGTGGGTTGTCTAATGTTTTTCTGAAAGCCATTCTTCCTTTCCACCTATCTTCACATCACCAAATCAAACGTAAAATTTTGTGGCACTTGTATTCAAATAGAAATGTTATAATTTTAAAGTTAAAAATGAGTATAACACAGTTCCCATGACTGAACTCTTAGGCCTCAAGTCTAACTTGGAAATACTCAACTTTAAAATTCAAATATTTTTAAGTTTAAAATTAAAAAATTTTAAGTTTTAAAATTTTTTAAAATCTTGATGGCCCCCTTTGTGTCCATCAAGATTTGCTTTACATACTTAGGTGCTCTTATGTTGGATATGTACATGTTTACAAGGGTTACATCCTAATACCATATGATTTCACTTATGTGTGGAATCTAATGAACAAACTGAGATGAAAGGAAGATGAAGACAGACTCATAGATCAAGTGCAGATGATAACTAGTGGCAGAGGATGTTGGGGAGGGTGGGGGGGTTGAGCAAAAAGGAAAAAGGACCCATGGACACGGACAGCAGTGTGGTGATTGCTGGGGGGAGGGCTATTAGGGCACCAAATGGTAATGGGAAAAAAATATAATAAAGATTAATAAAATACAAAAAAAAGAAAGTTAAAAAAATTAAGGTTAAAAATTTTAAAAACTTAAGGTTTAAAATAAAATTTAATTTTCCCAGATAAGTAGTATCATGAGCTTTTAACAAAAATTGATAGGAGGAAACTCTTGATTAGATCTTTTCTGTCTTTTGGGGAAGTTTTTCAAATAAGCAGGAGTATGTTCTTGATACCTCTATTCAACATCATTTCATCATTCTAGTTTTCTAGGAATTTTAATGATTGTAGTTTTTGAATTTGAGTGGAGCTTGAAACACACCGTCTTTGACAATAAGATAGTGTCAGGCAGTGTCAGTCCTTCCTAGCAGAATATATGAAAAAAAAATAAAGAAATCACTCTCCCTTAGCATTTTACCACACAGCGTTACAGAATTCAGAGAAAATTTGGTGTGTTCAAAATGCATATGAAGACTTGACATTTTTATTTGGGATATTTGACAAGCCCACATTTTTATCCTTGACAAAAGGTAAATTGAATAATTAACTAGTGTCTGTGGGGTCTGTGCTTTTTTTGAATAAATATCTTGTCATTTATCAAAAAACAAATCTTAAAATAACTTCCAATGTACATTTTACTTTTAAAAATTGGAAGGACCTTATAGTGAGGTTATGTACAGAATCTAATTCTTCTGATAGATTTGTTGTTACCAGTTTATACATCAGCATCTTCTCACTTTCTTTTAAGATTCTGCTTTTAAAAGTAAGGACTCCTAATTCGGGAGTGATGGAGAGGCAGATGTTTACAATTTAGGATAAATTAGTCAATTCAATGCCATGGTTAACCGTAGCCTATTGAAGTGCTGAAATGCTCCATTCCAGGAGAAGAAGACAATGTGTCCTGAAGGGTAATGAAGTTTATAATTACAAAACATACCACAGAGATTGGAATTCACAGAAAATAATTGAAAAGTTTATAATTTTTATTTGAAAATTGAAATACTTTATTTCCTCAATTAATTCCATGTTAAGTTAGAGAATAGACAAGACCTGAAGAAATCATGTGGTCAAATTTATATGCATTACATATCTGTTCGATTACTTAAGAATGGTAGAAAAAACTGGTTTTTTGGCTAATGTATATTGTATTCAGTAGATGCATTTGTACTTCCACTCTGGTGACACACAGAGTCCCTTTTCTGAAAATATTCAGCAAAGCCTTTGTCACTTGTTGCTGATTCTTATTGTATCTTTCACTTCCGCTGTTGCAAACCCAACAAGTTCTTAGTAAGCAAGAATGTTTAAAACTTAGATAACGTTTTAAATCACTAGTTCCCAGGAAGTGGTGCTGTGCCATGCTATGAAGTTTCAGAGTTCCAGGTAACTGTGTCATAGGAATTTTCATCTGAGATGTGTGTATGCCAGGGTTTGGGTTTTTTCATTTGACTTCAAGGCATTGAAGTAGGACAAATGTCTCAATTTTATTCAATTATATAGCAATGTATATACCATTCCATTAAAAGGGCCTCAGGCAGCTTCTAAACTGTCTTTTCCCTAATCTGCTCTAGGGATATATTAGAATCACCTTTTCTGTCCACCTTTAGCAATTGCAAAATTCTGCACCCTTCTACAAAGGTTTAGGGATGAATTGGCTAAAGGATAAAGAGGGAATCAAATAGAAAATGTTTTTATGGTATCGATAATAGACTTTCAAAATAAGTCATATTAAGTATTCATTTAAATAGGCTTCATACTAGTCTATAAAAATGCATTTGGTAAAATGTTATTTCAGTGGGGCTCATGTGTTGAAACCAAAATTTATTTTCCTATTCTGTCCCATTGCACGTCTTCCTGCCTAGATAACCCTGCACTGTTCTGGTTCTCGAGGCACATATCTCTCTGGGGCAGCATATCCTTCAACTTGGCCGTGTTCATCAATTTAGCTGTTGCTCTCTTCTACCCATTTGGGGACGATGGAGATGAAGGCAAGTGCTTGTCTTTCTTGAAATGATAAATATTTTAAAGTTCTAAAATAATATTCTTAATACATCTCTTAACTATTTAGAGTTTCAAAATAATAATGATTTAATTCTTGTTAAATCTATTTTTCTATATTCATTGGAAGTAAAGAATTATGATAAGTGGAGTAGGCAGAAAACGATGGTCAATCAAAATGTTATTTTGCAAAAAGCTTGTATACAGAAGAGCTACTAGAGCTATATTATATATTGATAAATAAATCACTGAAAATTATTATTTCCATCTATTATTATTGAAAGACTTTATACTGTATCATCATAATTACATAAACATGGGAAAATTAAGGGTTTATGCCAAATATTCACTGTGAAAACTTTAAATAGTGGAATTTATATTTTACTCTCTTCTTTTTGCTTTCTGGCTTTATGTCTAAGTTTTCTATAATGAGCATACATGAAATCTGAAAAAAATTAAAAATATATAAGACAGAATATAATAATAGAGACTCTCTCAGATCCCAGAGTCGAAAGTGAACTTTTATTTCCAGACTAGGACTTATATATGAATTATTCTATATGAATGATGGACCATAAAATTAAATTAAAAAAATTTTTTTTCTATTCACTTATTCAAAAGGGAGAAACATCGATTTGTTGTTCCACCCATTTATGCATTCATTAGTTGATTCTTGTATATGCCCTGATTCAACCTTGGTGTATTGGGACAATGCTGTAACCAACTGAGCTACCTGACCAGGGAGAATATGAAATTAATACTATTAAACTAACATTGCATGAGATTTTACAAAAGCAAAGCCAAGAGGAATGATCTCATTTTAAGTGAAATGGGAGATACTGTATAGGAGAAATAACTGAAGGGTGGGACTGTAGAAATTAAGTTGTGTTTAAGTCTGGCAAAGTGAATGGGAATCTTTGTTACTGACTTGGGATACAGTCAAGTAAATAACTTTGGACTATGTGTGAAAAGAATGGCTTAGAGGATAAGATGAGAGACATTAACAAATAATAACCACAAGGTGCTTGTGTATTTCATCTGTCCATAGGGTGGATTATTGTGAGAGTTTAATGACATGAGTAAAACATTTAGAATAGCTCCTGGTGAAACTTAGTTGTTCTTGATGTTGTTACAAAGGTAAATGTTAATACTACAAAGGAAAGCCCGATGAAAGGGATGGGATGATGAGGGGGAGTGGCTCTGTCCTGCAGAGCAGCTCCGGGTTGCCATGGGTTGGGACATAGAACAAGTTGTTCCAGACACTTCTTGGTCTGCCAGGGAAAGGGGTTGGCAAATCTCTCTAGTGGAGAAGGCCCAGAGTCCCTGTGTTCAGTGGCTTTTATTGAAAGGGTTATGAGTGGGGGCTAGGTAGTAGGAATGTACAGGTAATCTTATTACATCAGTATGTTAATGTTTACAGAGACTAGGTGACGTATGAGGAAGACAAAGGGCAGGAACACACGGATTTGCATGGGTCTGAGATGAGTAAACATAAGAGCGCCAAATCGTTTAGGGTCAGGGCCTGTGAATGATGTAATAGCTTTAGGAAAAACAAAGCATGCTGCAAGGAGTGCAATTTACTTCTAGGTCTGATTTCCCCTGGGAACCACCCGATCCAGTTTAGGGCTGCCTCTAGTATTGTTTCAAGCCTGAGCCAGGGGGGTAGAGCCGAGCAGCCAAGAGATAAGGCGACTTCTTTCAGATAGAATGAGGACTCCAGCCATATCAAAGCGGAGGGGTGAGGGTCTTTTGCCCTTTCTCCATGTCCCCCAAGTCCTTCCCTGATGGCCCCTATGCGACTGTGCCTGTCTTAGGTTGCCCCTGCCATTGATGGATCTTACCTGTCATTGACTAACCAGCCATCCTCCGGGGCCAAGTAGGGTGATGTGAGGGAGGCAGGGGCTGGGCCCTGCCAAGGGGACAGATTTTGTCTACTCAGTGGCCTATTTTCCCAAGGCCTCCATGCTTAGCTCCAGCCTTGGGGCCCTCTCGCCTGTCAGTGAGGCTATAGTCCCTGAAACCAGGCAGGGCGGTTCCCAACAATTGTATGATCAGAGCAACAGGTATTTAAATCTATTGCAGATGAACTAGAGGTGAACAGGGAGGGAAATGGGAGCCCAGGAGTAATTTGCCATTTTAAAGGCCCATCAAGATAACAAATATCGAAGTCCTAACATTTAGGTATAATGATTATGAATAAAGTTTGACCTTTAGTATGGCAGGCCAGTACTTAAGAATATTTGGCAATGGAGCAGATGTGGGAGTTAAATAGTAATGGAATACATAGCAAATGTCTGGCCATCCACTGTGGGGAAGGTGCAAGTACAGCAGGTAGAGCAAACAGCTTTCTCTTTGCTGTGTTGTCTCATTTCGTGCCGATAGAGCTCTTGGCCCAGAAGAATGTGACTCTTGTAAGGAAAGAGGTCCAGTTTAAAATATTAATATCGTCATCACACATAATGCTAAGAGTAAATTGTAGAAGCATAAATTCTTAGATATGGAAGCAATTCTGGGACTTGTCTAATATCAAACCCTCATTTGACGGATAAAGAGACAGAGGCCCAGAGAGGCTAAAAAATGGCAGATCACAAAAGGTTCACCCTTTGGTTCTAATCCAGGACTTTTCTGCATGGGGATGGGGCTGGAAGCATAACAGGAAGCTATCACATCTTCATACAGTACAATTTTTCCTGAGTTCCATTCCATGATTATATCTTGCTGGACCCCCAGAGCCAATGTATGTAGCCTCTGCTGCCACCTATGGAACATGAAATATAATAGTGGTGGGCAGGGCCACTCCTCCTGACATATACACTTTACTCATTCAGGAGCAAGTAGAACACCTGATACATTTTTAATAGTTACCTGATTAATAACAGAATAGTAATATTCGTCATAATAACAGCAGCCAATGATATGTACCAGTTAGTTTGGGTTAGGCAAAATGTTTAGCACTTTACATACATAATTTTATTTAATTCCTGACAGTCCTGCAAATAAGCACTTCGCCCTTATGGGTAAAGCATCTGAAGCTTAGGAATATTTGCCCAGTAATTGGGGAGTGGAGTCCAGAAATAAGTACTTTTTTAACAGGCTCCCAAGTTATTGCTGATACAACTGGTCCTTGAGCAGGAACTTGAAACCACATATATAGTAGAGTTCAGAGTAAGGCTCCAACCTGGAAAAAAATAGGACTAATGGAAACAAGACCAGAAAACCATGGTGCTTTGTCATCAGGTACAGATGCAGACTTTACTTTTCAAAAAGGACTGAACAGAAGTCAACAGTAGTCACAAAGATGGAGGCTCAGTGTTAGGTATCTGGGTGTGAAAAGATAGTGAAAAGAAATAGGGGTGGTACTAGGAGGGAAGGGAAGGCATGAGCTGCTGTTTTTGGCAGTGTGGAATCCCAGGGTTATGTTTGGGTAATCCAATTATAGTTCTAGATGAGTTACTTAATTATAACTCAATGCATAAGGTTAAATTTTTGTTCAGGATTAGCTGAGTCTCTAACCTTTGGTTTCACACTATGAAAGGCTGAGGAAACAAAGTTAAGACTGAGTGCACGTGGCCATCAGCACTGGCTGGAGAAGGAAAATTTTGTGCTGGACATGCATGTTCTCTAATGCCCCATTTTGTTAGGCCCGGACTAGATGATACTTCTCAGGGGCACTCTGAGGCAACCTAATTAGTTGATCATTCAGATTCCCTCCAAAAAGTGCTAAAATATTAAATAAAATGATGGGGACATATCAAAGAACACAGCATCCAACCTGAAAGGTCTCCCAGCAGCCAAATCTGGAAAATTTGAGAAAATAAATACTGACAGTAAATCATAATAAATAACCCATAGAATAAAATAAAAATTCAGGAGTCCATTTTGGTAGTGAAAAGAAAAAACTATTTCATACCATGGTATCCCAATTAATAAATGTAGAAGGAATAATGGAAATAGAATGTCACCACCATTTGTCAAACATCACAGAATCATTGGTGGATTTTAAAATTAATGTGTTAGATGAAAAGTATAATGATAAACAGGGTATTGACATAGTCTTAAGGTATTTCCCCACAACATACTTATTAATTACTACATAAAAAATAGTAACTTTAAAGTGGAAGAATCACTTTAAATGATCGATGTTTATGTCACCATTAATGAGACACAGCTACATTGGGTGCCTCTTGATGTGATGCCCTGACAAGGACATCACATTATTTGCCAAAAATGCATAAACTGAGAACACTTCAGACAACCCAAAATGGGGATTATCTTACAAAATAATTGGCCAGTACTCTTCAAGCTTATGTAAGACAAAGAAAGATTGAAATTCCAAATTACTATGCATGGCTGTGAAAGTTGGATAATGAAGAAGGCTGGTAGGAAAAAAATTGATTTATTTCAAATATAGTGTTGGAGAAAAACTCTACAGATACCTCTGGGCCACCAGAAAGACAAACAGGTCGGTCCTATAGTAAATTAAACCCGAAACATCACTGGAGGCAAAAATTAAGAAACCAAAGCTATCCCACTTTGGGCACATGAGAAGGTGGGTTCTTTGGAAAAGACAATTCTGGTGGGAAGAACAGAAGGCAGCAGGAAAGAGGAGGAGAGGATGACTCCATAAAAGAAGCCATAGTGTTGCCAGGAGTTGCAGTTGACTCAACAACACGTAATACACACACCCCCCAAATTAAAAGAAACTAAAAAGACATGACAACTAAATGCAATGTGTGATCCTGGTCCAGAAAAAGAATTCTAATCGGGCAATTGATGAACTTTGAATAAGGCCTATAGATTAGAAAAAATTAGTGTCATATTAATTTCCTGACAATTGATCATTGTGATATGATTATGTAAGATGTTGACATTTGGGAAATCTAGGTGAACGGTATATGAAAATTTTGTATATTTACAACTGTTACATAAGTCTGAAAGAGTTTTGAAATGGAAGTTTAAAAAAATAAATAAATGTGGGTAGTTTGTCCAG